TTAAATATGTGGATTGCCATTAAATATCTAGACTAGATAATTTATCATGTAAGTTTTTCACTAGTGACAGGCATTGGTCTGTTGTGTCTTTCATGATATCAATGCGTCAACTTGCCCAGTACTAGTTGAAAAGCATCAGCAAAATTTTGGGAGGCTGTATGTCACTGTTGCTTTCTTTTTCACCTCATTAATCCTTCAGAGAGATTTGATGAATCCAAAAGGAGGCTGGACGCCCTCTGTGAAACTCGTCTCCTCATGAAAGCTCCTTTGCAAAATCAGAAAGGATCCCCTCTTATGTTCATCCATCACTTCAGTGCAACACATTCCTACCGCTAATGCCACATACTCAGCTGCTAGCCTGCAGCAGGAGAAGAACGACTTTGCAATCCAGGTAGATGGAGGCTGAAGGACAGCCGGATCAGATATGCAGAGCAAGGCACAAAATTATTACTCCACCTAATATATTGATACCTATTAATGTCAACATCTTGTAAATTCAGAATTAGAAGAATTGCCACTGATATTGCCCTCCACTATTCCTACTCCAATAATAAGGGTTCGGGTGAGAATACCCTTCTATTACTGTCAGCTTTTCAAATTTGCAATGATTTTTTAAGTAGTTAATTTTATTTATCCAGACCCTTTTCATTCCTGGGAACAAAGTGGTCTTTACAGCCTAGAGCTCAGGTATATTGATGCAGTGCAATGAAATCTTTGACACTCTTGCAAGTAAAACTGCTTTCAAATGAGTGCACAGTTGCCAGTGTGTGCTTGATGTACTTGCTTTGAAATTATTTAGCTATTACTAGCGATTCCTCACACGGGTCATTTTCTGTATGCCAGTGAAATCTCCAGAATCCTTTCCAATTTGTCAGAATTTATTAGAGCTACTAAGAAATTTGTAGTGTTAGCATAAAGAGTCTTTATCAACACTGGAAAGGAGCCTATAGTAGTAGCTACATCTAGAATGAAAAATGCTAAAGTATTTCAAGATGACAGTTGATGCCATGTGAATCTTCTGTTGCTTAAAAGTGACTCTATTTATTACAAATACAATCTCCCAAATCAATATTTGAGCACAATAAAACACCTCTTTGCCACTCTCCTTCAGCCACACACTGCAGTCACTTATTGTGTTCCTGTTCTTATCCAAATGCTGTCAGGAACATTTTGAAGACACTAAATGAATTGCCTAAGGAACACAAATGTTTGACATTACGAAGAATAACCTACACATTGTCAATCTCATGGCCTCCTGTAATTCATATCTTTTCTGTTTATGAAAGTATCTTATCATCAAATTGCACAACAATCACCTTAACTGTACAAGTAAAATTACTGTATTTTGGGTTTTGTTCTCTTTCTTCCAAAGGTGTATTTTTGTTAGACCTTTTTGCAAAGCAAAGGTATCAGGTCTACTGTTTTATTGCCTTAAGGATGAAGTTTTTACCTTCCTTTACAATGCTGAGCAATATTTTCTGATCTTTTATCTTTAAATATTTTGCATGAAGGAGTTAAAGGACTACCATTTGTCCACTTTAATTTCCAGTAATTAGTACGTAAATCCTTTTCTATGTATCTACAAGGTTATTTGTTTCACTGGGAAAAAGGATGAGAGAAAAATTTTCCAGAAATTTTTTGAATACATTTATGTGAAGTTAGTTTCTGCTTTTCTTCTAGTCTTTTAGGTAAATTTTAACCTATGAGAAAACAACTGTTACTACCATACGCTTGGACTCTATCTCATTGTGTATCTGTCTCATGACTTAGGCCTATACAGTTCATCAAAAAATGACTCAATGTGCTGTTTAATCGGCAATTATTTTTGGCTATCATTCTTGCATAATGCCATCCTTCCCCTTATATCTCCCAAAATACATACTGTTCTGACAAGTAAATGATCAGCCTCTACTGACTCACTTCAGTTTTTAAATAAAATTCATCAGCACGTTCTCTGATGACTAGGGAATTGAGTTGTGACTCAGCAAATCCGTTCAAAGTATTCTTTGGCTATTTCATAAAAAAACTGAGATATTCAAATTCCCTTATCATAGAGGCCTACAGGAAACATCTGATCAGCTTTTGATTCAAGATCTCAACGTTCAAGTGAGAACTTGAAACAGATTCTGCAAAGGCCATGGCAAAAAAAAATTAAGATTCTTGTAATGCACTTTGCATTATTTTCATGAGCTTTCTTGCTCATTCACTCACTCCTTATTACTTCAGCCACTTCAACACATTCTCACAAATGCTGTTGTTTTCAATTAAATGCAAACTCAGTACGAGTTAAAATGGTGCGGTTTCAATGTTCTTATAGATCTGACTGTGAAAATAGATTAGCCTAGTGAGGGACTTTTCATATTGAGAATTCATATAACTTTCTGGGTTTAGTGATTTCAAATAAAATACATTCTTTTATGATAACACATCTGTGGTTGCAGAAAGTACTAGGACACCCATATCTTTCTTTAAAGTAACAATCTTCTCGTCTTGGGTGTAGGTAATTGGGAAGAACAAATTTTGTCTAAAGCTCTCCAGCACAGAAAGCAAAGCCTGCAAAACAATTTCTTGCAAATAGATTCAAAGAAACTCTATAATCTGACATCAAAGCAAAACCATTGTAATAGTTTCTGAAGTACTCCATATGTTTCTATTTAATTCCTCTTAGTCAGTATGGATCACTAACTGGTTATAGGAAGGACTGTCTAAGCACCATGATTTGAATTCCAGGTAAAAGGCAGCTCTCTAGCAGAAGCTATTACTGGACAGAAAGGTGAGGCTAACTTTATTATTGCTGACTAAAAAAAAAATTACGACACCTGCTTCAGAAGATTCGGACTAAAATAAAGTTACTATATTGCACAGTAGAGCATGGAGGAGACCTCACTGTTTTCAGAACTTTACAGCAAGGACCCTGCTTCCACATCACTTGAATTTTATTTTTAAACTATGTGTTAAAAACAGACAAAAAAAACCCCACAAGTCTGACTACAATGAGGTCTGGAAACCACAAAAGGATCTGCAAAGTGACTGCTCGTTAAGCACTGTTTCTTCAGTATCTCAGATTAGTTCAGACACAGCATAAAAAAGTATCCATGGAGAAATGCCAAACCTTTTTGCATTGAGATCCTCCACTCTGTAGAGGCACTGTTTTGTGTAACTGTTCATAGACATGTGACATACCACAGAAAAAAGAAGAAAGTTGAATAAAACATCTGCAGTGCCTTGATACCATCAGGCTGGAGAGCAGAAGTACAGGGGAATATACTAGAGAGTATACTGACAAACTTCTCACTGCATGGTTGGGAAAACTGATCAATTCAGTCAAATCATCAGCTCAGTTATTATAAGTTATTATAAAAGACAAATATCCTTCCTGAAATCTCATACTGAAACCTCAGTAAAGTAATAGTCTCTTTATCTATGTATACTGAAGAACACAGCTCCACCTGGAGATCAGCCATCTCAGAGACTTAAGTCAACCTGGTCAATAAAGCGTAAAGTGGACAGAGACAACATCTTAAAAGCCGTTTCCGTGATCACAGACACTGTTAAATACTCACACAATAACATTCCAAATCAGGCAAAGCCAAACAGTTTTCAAGACAAGCTAAACAAAAAAGTCATTGTGGGCAAGTCATTAAAGGATATTTAATGCACACAATTTATTTTTCAAATTTGCAGTTTCTCTTCCTACCAAATGTCTGATTATTTTTCCTCGGTTACCTGTATATTCTTCAGGACAAAGAAGATATCCTCTAGGATTGCAAATGGCTTAGTGTATAGCAAACACTGCCCCAGATGTACTTCCAACGGTTCTTGGGTTTTTCCACCCAGGTGCCAAACTGCTCAGTCAAGTAACAATTTCTTAACTTATCAATTATAGAATTCATTCTTTTACTTTCATATAAGCACAAACAACAGCACTATCGTGCACATGATTACAGTTCATCTTCATCATGCAAAATCCACCACCTTTTCTAGTTTGTAGCTTTTTTCCCCCCCCAAATGTTTATGTCCAGCAGTCAAAAACATTTAAACAAACTGTAAAATCTTTTAACAAGAGCAGGAAATTAAGTGCACTTAAACTATAATCCGTTCTTTGTAACATGGTGCACAGCTCTTCTAAAAGAAATCCAACTGTTTACTCACCATCTTACTGTATAGTTTTTGGATATTCAGTAAAATCCTGGCACTGTTTTTTCATTTCTAATCTTGAATCATTTCAAGTAATTTTAAAGAAAAAAACACAGATCTAAAATTATTTAATTTAATTTCTGATTTACCATCTTTTTCTGCTTTACCATAGTTTTAAGAGTGGCTATATTGTAAATAAGTGTTTAATTCATTAAGCTAATTTAAGCACATAATTTCCATCTAACCCAAAAAATCTAATTTTCACTTTAAGGGTGGTAAGGCACTGGAACAGGTTGCCCAGAGAGGTTGTTGAGGCCCCATCCCTGGAGGTGTTCAAGGCCAGGCTGGACGCAGCCTTGGGCAACCTGGTCTAGTGGGAGGTGTCCCTGCCTATGGCAAGGGGGTTGGAACTTGATGATCTTCAAGGTCCTTTCCAACCTAAACCATTCTATGATTCACAGTTCCTACAAGAAAGATAACTCGCACACCTAACAGAGATGTTCAAAGGTGCTGCTTTCTTGAGTCTTACAGTTTATTCTCTAGGCTTTTATGTTTGTTACAGGGATCAATTTACAATTTATGTAGATCTTCCAGCAGATTCAAATTAAAATTAATTATATAAACTTGTAAACTCAAGAGTACACATCTGCTGTCCTTCACTTAACATTATCAAGGTAGGGGTCTAAAGCACAAGAGGAAGGAAGATGTCGAGCTCTCTGAAGTCCATGTAATGTTTCATTGTCAAATTAGCATTGTTTTAGGAAGGACACTGTCAAAAGCACAAATAGAGATTTTACTGCAATTGAATGATGCTGACTTTAAAAACTGGATCCCTGCTTATAGGAGAAAAATATTACTTTTACCTTACTGATAAGTGTGACAACATCACCTTCTCGGATTGTGAGTTCATCATCATTCTGTGCTTCATACGGAAATATCACTTTGCAATACTCCTTGGCTGAAAGGAAGAACATTCAATGTGATAAATTATCACTTTATAACAACTGCTTATCCAAGGGTGAAAATCTTCATTAAATGTTCCACAAGCATCTCTGTGCTGCTTTAATTTCTTGCCATCTTTCTCTTTGTATTTGAGACCTTCATAAATACTATGAAATATTTAAAAAACTCCACACTGATGAGTATTCCTGCACACGTCATCCAGGGAGTCAGTGCTGTAGCCCCTAGAACCATTATCTCAAATGAAATTGCTCTAGACAGCAACCTGCCACAAACTGTTTCCCTTAGACTAAGCCTGTATCTGACACTTGCTTCAATAGTTCCACTGGTATGGCCTTCCACCAGATCACATAAATTGGAAGAGTAAAGGACGGAGTAGGTTGGCATAGCTTATCTATCCCCTGGTGTGCAGGAAAGCAGGTATTTCTGAATCTACAAAGATGATAAAATAATAAATAATACATTAATAAATGTAAAGGCATTCATAACTAAATCTTCTGTACACTCAGCATAAAAGAAGAGTTTTGAATATTAGTCTAAAGTTTCCTCTTCCCTTTTCCCTTTACTGTCTAGAAATAAGGGCATCATCTCAACTTTCATCTGGAAAATACAGGAGCCAGCACTCCTACTCAGAAATCATAAAAAGCAGTTGTCATGAAAAGCAGTTACTTACAACATGTTGCTGTGCAACAGACAAGTATGTCAATGTGGCTTACAAATAAAAAGGGAATATGCATTCCAGCTGTTAAATAATGTATAAAAATATGTGATACTCTAAGACAGAAGGTTTAAAAAGACCAAAGAAAAGACCACAGAAATTACCAGACCCTTCGTAGAAGGGCATGTGACTTTGTAGAAGTGTTCACCTCACTTTAAATGCCTAAATCTTTATGACCTCTACCTCTAGTCAGCTGTCATGTTTGATGCAGAGAAACAGGTACTTGCAGGCCACAGAAATCTAAATTAATTTGAGACAACAGGACTTATTTCTTTATACTTACTATAAAGAGAACCTGCATTATCACACTTGTGGGTATTTGAGGCTCCATGGGGGGTGTCAGTTCAGCTGCCCAGACTCTAAGTGCCATTTCAGACACTGGTGGATATGTAAGACACCCACACGGTTGGCAGATATGATGCACAACCTATGCAAGAGCCAGGTCCCTCCAGTCTGGCATCTGGAGGCAAGCCAAAATACCCTGGGCTATCTCAAATGCTCCAGATGCAGGCTACTGATTTCAGCCCCCAGGGTTGGGCCTGGTATTTGGATTTAGATTTGGGCACCTGATGTTAGAAACTGACGATGTCAGTGCCTCCATTTGCACTACAGTCGATGGAGAGCAAGCCACTAAAGCGAGCAAAGCCTTGAGAGCCACTCTTCACCCCAAGAGCAGACACCTACATTCAATTAGCTGAGTCACACTCTGAACTCCCTGGACAGCAGTGACAGATCTCCACTGGGACCCACTGGAGCCCAGACACCAAACTCACATGGCTATACCGAAACTTAGGGCTCTGACTCAGAATCTGCATCCCAACTGCTAACGTTTAGTGACAGGAACACCAACCTTAAGTAAGCAGTCAACACACATGCACGTGAAGGGTTCCTGGCTGTAAGCACAATCAGCCTGAGAAATGAAACAGTACAAATGGGGAAGAGGAAAGCTCTTCTCCAGTTCACATGCACTGCCACTCAGAAATGGCATGAATTTTATGTGGCGCTGATTCAAGTAAACAAGAATTTCTTAGGCTTTACAAATTTATTTTCCTGAACACAAAAATTTAAACTTATCCATGATCATTAGCAGTTGGTTTTCTGGGCCTGCCCTGTACTGAGTCTGGCTGGGATGGAGTTAATTTTCTTCACAGCAGGCTGTATGGTGCTGTATTTTGGATTTGTGACTAAAACTGCATTGATAACACACCACTGTTTTGGCTATTGCTGAGCAGCACCCGCACAGCGCCAAGGCCCTCTCTTTTCTCTTTTTCCCCACTCTGCCCCCCAGTAAGTAGGCCAGGGGTAGGCAAGAAGCCAGAAAGGCACACAGCTAGGACAGCTGACCCAAGTGAAGCAAAGGGATATTCCATGCCATATAACCTCCTGCTCAGCAATAAAGAAGGGTGGGCTTGGGGGCTGTTGATCTGGGAGGTAGCTATTCCTTGGAGACTAGCTGGGCATTGGTCTGCTTGTGGTAGGTGGTGAATGATTGCCTTAGTATTGCCTCTTTTTTTCCTCAAGAGTATCCCAAGTATCCATTCTCAAGTACACAAGTTGTTCCTCTGTTCACTATATAATCTATACACTGTATAATCTCAAGATTAGATGGGAAGCCAAGCTCAATGAACAGCTAATCATCAGAGAAGAACAGCCACTATACCCCAGTAATGGTACTATTCTGAAAAGATGCCAGTGGTGCAGCTCTCGCCCAAGGCATGGATGAATCCCATCTGTTTCAGGTTAAAGAATGCTTTGAACAGCAAGTGTCTCCAGGGAAGTCGTCGCTTCCCGAGTCCTACAACAAGCAATCCTCCCTCAGCTTCCCCTTGCTATTTTAAGACTTTACATTTGAATCATCCTTCAAGACAATGACCCCAACAGACAAGAGTGGAGAGAAGGTTGTGGTTTCAGCATCTGAAAAAGTCAGTTGATAATCAGGAAACTAAGTGCTCTCTTTCTTCCTTTTTTTTTTTTTTTAGCTTTTCCTCTAAAAGTATGTGTCAACGTGGATCTTACAGTAAGTGGCTGTCAAAAGCAGCAAGACTTTAACCAAAGAACTCATAATCTTTCACACATAGCAAATAGCTATGCATTTTTGCCTTCTAGTTTTGATGTCAAGAATTCTGTTCTCCCATGACCTATGCGCCCTCCCCACCAAGCTCTTACTTTTTTTTTTTTTAATATCCAGATAGCAGAGAAACAAGGAATTAAACTAGAGAAAAATATCAAAAAACAGGTCTTCAGCTCAGCCAAATGCCGATGTATTTCATGAAGAGCCAGGAGGCAATCTTGAGAGAGGCACAAGAGGGAGCTGGGGGAGGCTCATGGCTGCCTAGTGAAGGCTGGCACAAGAACACAGGGTGAAGGCACAGCTGTGGAAAAAAATCATGGTTTATGTACAGTAGAAGTCTGGACTCCTTGAGTGCGATTCACACTGACATACACTAAATCAGTACATTCCTCTGCCTAACAAGGGCTCCGTGGATCATGCTGCAACAGAGCTAGGTCTGAACAACACAGATGGGTTGGGAACAATGTAAATGACTGGACAAAGTCAGCTTTCAAACTTATCCTAAGGGAATGGTAGACCAACATGACTTAAGTAAGTAAAAGGGAACCTTTAAAATCAGATTAATAAAAGCAGAAAGAATCTAATAGGTTATGTCACTTCAGTACTAAAATTGTCCTCACTCAGCAGAGCACAATACCGCAAGAGGATGTAGAAGCACTTAATTTCAAGTTATGTTTAGATAGGAAGGAAGAAAAGATAAAAGGAAATACTAATTTCAGACACAGCACTGTAGAGACCAACTGGAACATGCTGAATTTGAGGGGTTTCCAAGTGGAAAAAAAAACCACCAAAAAACTAAAGGTCAAAATAATATATCCTATTACAAGTCTGGTAAATAGACTCAAGCCAAATTAAAGCTTCAAACTAAGATATCAATACTAAGCATCCCTCAACTGTAGAGAATAAATGTCATTTTGTACATTGGACACCCAAGGGTGTGTTTACACATCATAGATCGTTCTTCCAGAAGCCTCTCTTTTTTTCCTCTGACCTGAAGACATTTTAAAAATATACCTGCTAATAAACCCCCAACAGCAGACATCTTGGAGGAGAAAAGATGATATTCAATGAGCTTTTCAGTCCTCATTTATTAATTCAACAATAATTTACTCTGTCAGACCACAGAGTCCCTCTCTGCAAAGTCACAGCTCCTCCCAAGCAAAGTAGAACAACCTGTCATATACAATGGGCATTGCTCAGGGAACTGAGCGAGCAGATAAACTTTACAGCATATCCTACAACTCAAACAGGCCGGATCTAATGCAGGATGTTCAGCTTCTGGCCAACATATTCTGAACTGAGAGGGCTTGGGCTAGGTGTAATTCCATTGAAAACATTGGCTACATCCCATGATTTTTGAATGGTACCATTCCAACTAGACTAGGTACGGTAACGACAATGTCCTGTCCCTTGGAAGGAAAAACAAAGCTGTTGCTAGCCTCTCTGACAGACCCCAAGAGCCCAGGGTGACACACAAGTCCCCTTCCCAGCATCATCCTCATAGCTCAGAAGTCGAAAGAAAGAGCAGTAGCAAAGAACTAGGTATTTGTCACAAGTGGTCTGTCACTGCCCACATGTCACTGAGGAAAAAGTCTCAGGACCATCCTAAACACTATAAAAGGGCTATCCTCTAAAAAGAACTGGATGTTTTATGGGGGTCATTAACATGCATGTCTGTTCAGCACCTTATGTCCCCCTGTCTGTCCTGAGTTCAAAATGCGGCCTATTTGACACAGTTGCAGGCTTCCCCAAAAATCATTGCCTTAAAGAGGGAGAACAATAGCGAGAGACAGCATTCCTACAGAATACAGCTGCTTCATTATCTTGGCTGTTGCAAGCACTGTATTTCACCCACAGAATTCAGTGGTTTGATATGTATTTACAATTGCAGTGTAAAGCACTGATGTAAATGCATAGACCTTCTATATGACTTCGGGTCCTGCAGTACTGTAGCAGGTAAATTCAGTTGTTTGTATTTTGAGAGACTGGTTAAATATTATACTGCTTAAACCAGGACTGAGCAAACTCCATTCACTGTATCAGTGGACCCTGTTCCCTTTAAAAGCATGCCTCTTCTGTTTGTTCTCCTGCCAGACTCTTAGTATGAGCTGTGATGTTCAAGACAGCAGTACACAGACAATCATAACCTTCAGTCTTAAATTTCACAGGCAACAGTGACTCTGGAATTTGCTTTTCCTCTTAGGTCAGGATGACAAAATTTCCTCCTCTCACCTCTGCTTCTGCTTCCTCATCGTTAGGGAAGAACTGTTTCACCCCACAGCAAGATTTCCTCCATCTCAGACAATCTAACCACTGAGCTGGATTCACCCTTCTAACTTTTCAGAAATTGATTATTTATATATTTTTAGTAAAACAAACAACAAACCTGTATAGTCTATATAGTTGATTTTTGAGGCTTAAGCATTTCCCCCTTGATGAAGTCTAAATCATACACTAATGTGGACACAAACAGTAATACTAAGTAAGAAAATAAGCAGCATTAATGTAATATTCCTTGAGCTTAAGCTTCATCTCTTTAACTGTCACTCATAAAATGTTTCTAAAATGAAATAAAATGTACACAATATAGTGAAAAATCACATAATTGTTAACAAAACCACAAACCAGATGAAAAAAATCCAAACACTACATTCAGCAGAATTTAGTTTTACTATTAATTGCTACACTCAAGACTCATAAATGGATTGCACTAATAAATATTTTCACAGAACTTCAAGAGATGCAAACTATCAAAATACCATCTCATCAAACAAAAAATAGAAACAGAACTAATTATACCTTCTACCATCATGCAAAAAGATAAGTTGCTTGCTAGGATTTTGGTATTCCTATTATGCAATAGATTAACACAAACTGTAAACAGTCAGTGAGCGGAGCAATCAAATTAAGTGCCATGATCAATGCCTTCTGTGACTTACTGCCTTTTTTGTTATCCGCTTATACTCAGTTTTGCAGTCTCAGTAATCTGCAATAGCTCTCTCAGTCATTGTGGATGTTTTTGCTTTGCTGAAGTCTAGAATCCAACAGAACTACTTAAAAATGTATACATACTTTCTACAATATAGCCTTTTCATGGCAAGCCACTTAAACTAAAAGCAAGCTACTGCAGCTACTGCACAGAAAAAAAATATATCTTACCCCAGAGATAAAATTATAAACACACAAGGATGCATGTGCCATCCCAGCTGCCTAAGAGAGATGGAAATTCAACAGCAGAATAATTCCCCTATAAGTCTAGGCGGCCACAAACCTAACCCACACAGATCTCCCCTCTTCTCTTAAAAGACGTGTTCTTTCATTCCTGAAAGGTTAGTGATGTTTTCCAAGGGACCACTCAAGCTATGTAAGGATTTGTGCTTTCACTGTGCTCTCCCTTTGAGCAAAAAGTCCTCTTTGGCCCTGAAGAGTCATCTGTTTATCCCCCCAAAATCTTAAGCCCACTATTTAAGGAGATTAACATAGCATATTGTTGGGAGATGCACCTATAGACCATACTGCACTCTCCCTTGTTCTGACCAACTCATCCCATTGCAGAACTTAGGCCATTTTGCAGGTATGAAGAACAAATGGTAAGCATATCCAATGCCTTGCTGCAAATCACTGCCTTATCGCATCAGAAAAGCTATAGGAAAAAAGCGGACTCAAATCAAGATGTGGGAGGAGTCAGCAACCATCACTCCATGCTGAAGCCCGTAGGGCAGAGAGGGAAGATGCTACTGCCCCCCATTTCCTCTCTCAGCAGGCTCTTTCACAGTGCAACTGCATTTTTATCAAGTTGAGACTAAGGAATAACAGCATCAGTTATGGAAAGAAACAGACAGAAGATGAAAAATTGTATTATTCCTCTGTCAACGTTATCTCTTTCTTGCTTGCAGCATACATCTCTGGCAGTAATCCCAATCTAACTCTCATATCCAAAAGCCCGGTCTCCATACTGAGCTGAATCTATGTTTCTTGCTACTTCTTTGGAGAATGGCACAGTATCTGTTTTGTTCAGCAATTAAAGACTCCAAGGAAGACTGGGACCCTACCATCCCAGGCAAAAGTGAAAGTAGCTGAGGTCCAAGGTGGAATGACACTTTTATACTGAACACTGCAATTAAGATATTCATCGATTTTCAGAGACTGCAAACTTCCCTGGATTCAATGCTTTTTCAAGCTTGTTTGCGGTAGGTTTTTAGAAGAAAACAAAAATTAAATTTTAGAGAAATGACAAATACTAGACAGATCATAGCCCTATGCCAGACTCTGATCATACTCCTCATGTCTGACTACCAGACATTAACTGTCTTATGAAAAAATTATTCTTCCGCCTATATCAAAAACCAAACTAGAATGAAGTATGTTTCATTTTCACTGAAAGGTTTTTCGATTTAAATAAAGGACATTCAACTGATTTAAAAGTATCTCCTGTGATGCCATCTGAGGCTCAGACAGTTACATATAATTACATTATATCAGACCTTCCTATACATACACTTCTCTTTCACAAGCAAGAACAGAGATGCCAAAAATTCTGCTTAGGCCCCCGAGATTCCAAGAAACATAAAATGTCCTAAATAATGAAGTTTAGGTAATATTCACAGAACATGCAAATATATCGTACAAATTAGCTCACCCTTCTCACTAGTTCTGGCAAAAGGGATGTTGAATGATGTTTGCACACAACCATGCTGAAAACAGATGGGAACAGAAGAAGAAGGATTTTCTGACCAAAAAAGACATGTCTGAGGGAAATGACAAAAAGGTGAAAGAAGAACCAATCAGAGCCCCAAAGAGTTGATGGAGAAGTGTCTCTGTGTCAACCAGAGCTCAGTGTGTCACTATAGAAGGCACAGTTCTCTAACCATTGTTCAGAAGGTTTCCACATTCGTTTGTAAGTGGTAGAAGTACGAAAGCCCAGTACCCTGGAATGTGATTTAGCAAGTGGTTTCAGCTGTCAGAAGTATAAGCTGATGTGGAAAGAGGCATCTGTCTGCCAGCCTGGCTTACCACACCAGGGTAGTGCTGCAGGTGGGAAAGCCCATGGGACCACTCCTTCTGATGGCACCTGCACTCAGGTCAGCTTAACCTGCTCAAGCTGCAGGAAAGGTAATTCCAAAACACATTCATTCAGGAGCCTGCTCTACGTTACCAGTTTGCGCATTTTTCAGTATTACGAGTTCCCACTTCCTCAGGGCAATTGAGTTCTTGCAGCACTTCCCATTAACAGCCTTGTGTCACAAGGGGAACAAGATAAGAGGATGCAGCAAGTCAATTAGTGTGGTGCAGCTAATGGACAGTAACTCACTAAAAGTTGTTTTAGGCTGCTTTTGCAACTCTGAACTGAAAACTTGGTAAAACAGGTCGTAACCATACACGTCTCTCAGACAGCCCATATTCTTCTGCTCCAGATGCTTGCTTTCCTGTGTCTGTATGTGTTTCAGTTCTGAGACAAAACATTATCTAACTATCTAAAGGAAGGAGGAGTGTGCAAGACTTAAAAACTCAACGCTTTATATTGTACTCAATTTATTTTCTAGGGTATGGCTATGTTCTTCTCCTTTTTATTCTTAAAATTCTTAACTAAATGTTAATCCATAACATTTAGTTGTAACTTTATGTAAATAAAATCAAAAGATGGGGAATATATATGCAAGTCATTTGGTAAGCTAGCTACATATGCCTCCCTAGAACAGCACTGAGCCCTGCCTAAAAGATTTAATTATTGCTTTTTGTTTACAAAACATTGAAATGATAAAAACAGAACTGAAGTTCTTGGACACTGTTCATTTCCCATACAAACTATACCACCCACACAGATTATTTCTGCTACATAAAGAAAGAAAAAAGAGGAAAAAAGCAAGGGCACTCACAACGAAAGATATTTTTCTATGACCCACCTACAAGTTACTGCCTGAAGTTGGATCTTATTCAACTCCAATTCCTAAGTACCCTCAAGGCTGAAAGCTGATCACCCAATTTAATTTGATTTTTGGTGGCAGAAAACTCAGGGTAGGATTATCAGAGCAAAAACAATTCAGAGGATTCTCTGAAACAATGCATTCTGTCTATGTACTGCCTACTCAAAGTTTATCCTAAATATATCTATCTGCATCCTCACTTTTCATATATACAGGACACTCTTTTCACCAAAACCAGAGAAAAATGTTCAGCTTGCTTTTAAAAGGCTTACTAGCACAAAGTGCAAATAAGAAAAAACTATGAAACCTACTTTTTGTTCTGCTGTCCGCTTCTATTTTTGTTGGCTCCTGAGTTGCTGTGGCTGGAGGTAATTTCTTCCCAACACTCTGAAAAAAAATAATTATCCTCCTTTAAAATTTGCAGATTCGGTTAAAAGTTGGACAATATGAAAAACTGTAATGGAAATACAAAATATAGGAGTTGAAAAAGGACAGTAAAGAAACAGAGGCAAATGCATCTATACTTAGGTTTGTCTGTGGGGGTTTTATTAGCCTTTTTTTAAATTATAAAGAATTCATTAAAATGTGATCCTCAAATTTTCCCTTTAAAAATGTTTACTAACATTTTTAAACATTTTTAAATGTTTACTAACATTTTTTAAAATGTTTACTAACATTTTTAAACGTTAACTCCTTAACACAGTTTCAGGGAAGACTCATGGAAGTTTCATTGCTGGACTGAGTATGTGATGAAATTACTTAAGGAAAGGTGCTATTCAGTGCCAAAAGCAAAACTGAAAGAAGAGTGGGGGAAAAAAAACCCTTGACTTCTGTCCACACAAGGATTATTCATTTCAGTCATTCTAGATCGAGTGTGATTTTTAAGTTGACAACATCTCTTTAAATGATTCCCATTTTTGTTTATTTTGAGCAGAAATAACTAATTTACAGACGAGTACTACAATAAGCAATTATCAGCCTTAGACAGGTAAGAACGGTAAACAAACATTATTTGTCCCCAACAAAATAAAATACAGTTGATGATATTCATCTTTATGTATCTTCACCAGTAACTATATGCATGCTATCCCCCCTCTCAGCTTTTCTCCCTATCAAGAAAGCTGTCTAGCTTTAAAATCCCAGCCATGTGGAGTTGAGGACATACATAAGTGCAATTATCGCTTGTTTATATAGATAAGAGTACTTAAAAGCCCTAGCTGGAGCTCAATATCCTTTGCTGGTAAGGTATGCATAAACACCGCAAAACCTTCTCCATACTCCAGTGACATTCTGAGTAAAAGCTAAGAGACAAGAGATCTAAGATTTAGTCTTGAAGGCACTGAGAACCTCTTGGGGACTCTAAGGAAAACACTGGTCAATATGAAAAGCAATAGAAGTACAGAACTTGAAGTAGCTGAAAAATTTCAAAGTGTGAAAAGAATATGAAGAGCTCCATATTAGCCATTTTGTACACTAAACATGTCAAAACTTATTTATGAAAAGGAGTAAAATACACACACAAGGATTTTAGGCTGGCAAAAAGAGCGCTTCTGGAAGAGAGGTGGTTTCGACAGTTGTACACAAGACAATGACAGAATTTGTGTTGACAAGTAAGACAAACTATGAATTGCAATACCCCAAAGTGTCCTCTTGCAACTTAACTTGCAGGTGGTAGCAGAAACAACTGACCTTCTGATGAGCTTAAAACTCTACATACGAACTGGAGTTTGTGAACTGCTGGGGAAGAGAGATCAACAACAAAACTCTACAGAACTTCCCAACTTCTTTGCTGAGGTGGGAATGAGAGACAAGAAGCATTACCTGAAGCAGCGATTAGGGAGGTAACAGAAAAAATAGCACATGATGGACTCCTGCAAATCAGGTGAGGGCAAAACTAAGAAAAGAGCATGACCTGGCTGTACCGAAGAAGCTTAAAGTCAAGAAGGATGATGATGAAAAGGTGATTCTCAAATGTAGCTGAAAAACAGGGAAAATTGGACTGGAAGAGATACAATGAAGAATGTGAAGCTACCGGGCATTCACACAGATGAAAGCACAGAATGCCTTCAAGATGAAAGCAAGACTGGGAAGACAGCTTGTGGTTCAGAGGCAAACAGGGCAGTTCAAGGTAGCTGCACATCTCGGTACATGCTCATTCATGACCAAGCCTTTATTCACAGTTCTGCTTCATAAAAGGGTTTGGAAAATGATGAGAGCACATACTCTAAACTGCACTGCTATTTAACTCAGAAAGGAATGTTTGCCAAAGGAATATCCAGAAACTTTAATTTATGGGAGTTTTTCTTTTTGTAAAAATGAAATTGATATTCAAGAACTACTAATAAAAGGAAAGCATTTGGCAATTGCTTTATCTTACGCGAATCATTGATCTTATGCCATGGAACCAAAACCCAGATAAACTCACAACAAGCTAAAATTTAACTACCTAAAAGTCACAGCAAAAGAATCATGGGCAAAGACAAAGAAACTAGTGTATCCCAGTGGGAAGTGCATGCTGCAATGTAATTTCTTCATTTATAGAAGCAGATGCAAGTGCAATGCTTGAAAACGTTCATTCATCTGCTCGTGTAGAAAGAATGCCTGTGCAGATGATAAATCAGCTGTCTAGGAGACAGGTCGGAAAGCATTGTTTGCATGAGTTGCAATTTGTCCAGGAGAGAAGGTAAAAAGCCTGGGGAGCAAAGTGGCTGAAGACATGACTCTTTTTGCACATATAGAGATAGCCTGAGCAAAGAAACTGGACTCCTGACAGGTATCTTCATCCTGATAGATGAAGAGCAGTGCAAAACTGGGTGTAGCACATGGAATGTGCTGAAAGATCACAGTGACCTACAAGATCCAAGAAGGCAAGAAACATCTCCCTCCATATGAGCCAGAAACTTTGCTTCTGACTCTCCAGTAGTTTTACATCACTTGTACTCCCATACAGGTCAAATATCTACTGAATTTACTAGTGGCTAGGAGAACCAAGCAAGCCCAATTGAAATTCTTGCTGATCCAATACACAACTTCATGACCTAGACTTTTCTTCTCAGGGACAAGTTACTATAGGGTATTTTGGTCTCTCCTCCAGTTGAAGCATAATTTATCAAAACCTCCTTCACTTCTAAAAAAAGGAAACATGGGAGCAAAGAACACTTTAATTGGGTTGAGCTAAAGATTTCCATATAATTCTTCCTCCTCCTCTGTTCTCCCTTTATATAAGAAGAAGGCCAATTCTATTTCAGAAAAAAACATGCTTTCCAAGCCCTTCTAGACACATAGATCTACCCTGCAAAATACTGATATACAACTCCAGCTTTCACATTATTTAGCCTTTTACCTGATTCATTCCTACCTATCAGGCTTGACATTCTGTTGAAGCTAGTAGATATTACCCCTTAGGGACACAGGAACAAAACAAGATTTAGAACTTGAAGGACTTTTTGGGAATTTAGACGCTCGAAATCCAAGAGCAGGATCCTCGACCCTGCCAGCATTCCCTGACATCTCCCAGCATGAACTCCCTCTCTCCATTTACCTAACTAATGTTTGCAATAAAAAGTCACATGCAGTATGAACCAGAAGGCCCATAATGACCCCCTCTCAGCAATGTCCTAATCACCAGGCTGTAAAGACAATTGAAGTTCTGCATTTTCTCTCTAGCCCTGTGTATCCTGAATTCTTGGGTGCAGAATGGTTTCAGCATCGGCAAAAAGGGTAGCATATTCCCTGCTGCCTTTGTATCTCTAAGCTGGTGGTTCAGAGACATTCCTGAAGAGTACCATTTCATTTTCCCTCTATTCTCCTTCAGTACGCTGATTACCATAAATCTCATTTCTAGATGGTGGCAGCCAGCCTTGTTCCATTTACATTACTCTGTTGATATCACTCTGACTTGCTTACTCCTGTCACACAAGAAACATGTGTTGGAAACGGAATTCAGATTTCCTGACTCCAAGCCTAGGTTGACTCCCAACACACAACAGAACATATCAACAAAGCAGACAGAATCTTGAACCCACTCTTTCTGCAAGGCGAGTATAATTAGATTATTTAGCTGCCAGACACAAATCCCCCTAATCACCTGACAAGTGAATCCTAAAGATGAAAGGGGATGAAGTGCCCTCTCTCTGCAAAAAAAACAGCTGATAAAAGCATGAATAATGACCATGATTTGTTGTACAGATATTCAGAGAGATGAGACAGATTTAGCAGCAACCTGCCAGACTTAATGCTTGGTTTCATGAAGCCAACGTAAGGACAATCTAGCACTAAATAACAGATTCTTTTAGCAGAAGGGGCACTGATGGCGATTTGGTACACTGTAAATCCCTATCACTGCAGCCCAGTTTCCTCTTATACTGAATTAACAGTGATTACGAAAGTGGTTGAGGTGGCACACAGTCGTGTGAATGAGGTCACGGTACAATCGAAACAGTCTCATTTCCTTTCATTTATGTATTTTGGCACAACTGCGTTTCCTGTAACAGCAGAGAACAACACGAGAGAAGCAGAGAACGTAATGGGTAGTATACAACTGAGTTTTTCTCACTGGAGGGCACTAAGGCCCTTCCCTACAACTATTCACCCCCGACCAGAGGAAGAAAAGTAGATCTATGATCAAGTTTCCTCCTTCAGAATATTTTAAAATTGCATTTCAGGGCTGAAATACAGTTGAAAACTGACTTGTCTATTTATTTTTGTTATTCAGGTCTTCTGTCTCTAGAACATTTCATCTGAAAATTCAAATTGAATTGTCACCTGTGCACCAGCTAGGCCCATACAGAAGATTTTGTTATACTTCCTTGCACTAAATGAACGTACTTACCCTTTGACTCTCCTTTAAAAAATATAGGCTTCTCCAAGCAACAGCTTATTTACTCAGGAATAAGGAAAAAAAATAATTACTCAGCATCGCTATTTATTCTGGAAAGTGTGTCGAGGTCTTTACGCTATATAAAATATTTTGAAACTGCTACTTGACATGTAACTCCATTAAGATATTCTTAATGAATACATCAGACATTAAAGAATTCATAAAAATGGGCTGTATGAGCTGGAAACACTATTTTTAAGCTTAACATTATTTGTCAGTTTGAACAGTGAGAATGTAACAATATGCACAGATATTTTATACAGGGGAGGAAAAGGCAGTTACGTATCTTGAGAACTTTTAGAATTTCTGAAAACCTCAGTGATTACGTCAGGGGAAAAAATGTGCTGTGTTTCTTTGACCACAATACTTCCGTTTAACATTCAGCTACTATTTTTGAATGTTGTTTATATGCATGACAATTTTTTTATCTATAGGTTTACGTGCAAATCCAAGGCCACTATTAGTTACAATATAAAAGCTGTATTCTTTAATATATTTTTGACAGTCC